TCTGGATCCGACTACCTGCTTACAGGGCCATGAATCCACTCCGGGCAACATCCTTAGCACAACCCCTCCTCCGAATGAGGAGGCGAGTTCTCCAGGTAAGTTACGCAGTCAGACATGCTCCCTCTATTATATGACAGAATATGTATCTTTTCACAGTTTATCACCGACCTACAGAGCTTTTGTTACTGCCCTAACGAACCATCAAATCTCTGCCACTATTGAGGTTGCCCTTGCTGGCCCAGCCTGACAAACGACAATAATGAAGGAAATGAATGCCCTTCAACGAAATCATACGTGGGATGTCGTGGATCTTCTTCAGGGCATGAAAGTTGTAGGGTGCCGATGGATTTTCAGCAGTAAGTTCAATTCTGACAGGTCATTGGAATGCAACAAGGCAAGATTGGTTCCCAAGGATACTCTTTTACCTGTGGAGTTGACTATGAGGAGACATTTACTCCAGTGACTAAGTTAAACATCATTCGAATCTTGTTGTCACTTGCGGTGAATTTGGATTGATTTTTATTCCAACTTGATTTCAAGAATGCATTCTTGAATGGAGAGCTGACAAAAGAGATGTACATGTCTCTCCCCCCGGTTTTGAGCCTACTGCCTCCAGAGGAGAAGTGTGCAGGCTACGAAAATCACTCTATGGGATAAAACAATCCCAAAGAGCCTGGTTCAACAAATTCACAAAGGTGGTCGTGGGTCATAGTTTTACTCAGGTTCAATCAGTCACATCCTAAAAAAAAAATGGCTATTCTTATTGTCTATGTTGACGATATTATTTTTACAGGTAACAATCTTCCTGCATTGGAATTCTTAAAAGACATCATTGCTTCATCCTTTGAGATGAAGGACTTGGGGTCTCTCTGATACTTCTTAGGCATATAAGTAGCTCGGTCATCTCTGGGAGTCTGCCTGTCTCTGCTAAAAATTTGATTAATCTCTTGACAGAGAACAAACTTCTTCTGTGTAAATTCGTTACTATTTCTGTGGATCATAATGAAAAATTATTTAACATTCCCAATGTTTTACCTGTCAACAAGACTCGTTACCAGCGTCTTGTGGGAAAATTCATTTATCTCGCTCATACTCGCCTTGACATATGTCACATAGTTGGAATAGTGAATCAGTTTATGCATGACCCCTACGAGCATCACCTCCAAGCTGTCCACCAGATTCTCCACTACTTAAAAGATACACCGGGCTCAGAGTTGTTTTTCTATCGTCACACTTTTCGGTCTTTTGCGGTGTATACAAATACTGATTAGGTCGGATCAGTTTATGATCGACGTTCCACCTTGGGTATTGCTCATTTGTATGGGACAATCTTGTTTCATGGAAAAACAAGAAACAATATGTGGCTGCCCGAAGCAGTGCTGAAACTGAATTCTAATCTATGTCCTTAGGAATCTATGAAGCTCTCTGGTTATGCATCATCCTCCGTGAACTTCGTATGCCATCCTCCATCCCGCTCCATCATGATCGTACCAAATATGTGGAGATTGATAGACACTTCATTAAGAATAAGATTGAGTTCTTTTGTTTTATTCTGTTTTATTTTTTTCTTGTTATTCTATTCTGTTTTTATTATTTTTCATTATTATGTCTATTGTAATTGAGTTTAAATACCCTTCCTCCTATCAATAAAAGCGTGTTGATTTATTCCAAATCTCAACATCTATATTATAAGATTATTATTTAAATATTGAGTTTAAGTGCATTTGAAATCAGTACTCAAGCTATAGAAGTTATTTTTAGATCGAGAGAAGGGTGTCGGGAGCAAGAAAGGTTAGAGCTTGATTTATTTAAGTTTTATTTATTTATTAAATCTATAAACTAATGTTACATATATTGATTTCAAAGAAATTAATAATAATTATAAATTTTTACATAATATAAATGTATGTATATTTATGTTATTAAGCTTAAAGCCTAATTGAAAAAATATAAATTACATATAGTAACTAGAAAGTTAAATTAGAAGTACCAGTTTTTTTTATAGTCAATATTTATTAAGTTTAAATTATTAAGTTTATATTTGAAATGAACATAACAATTAACATAATAATAATAATAAAATTACTATTATACAACATACTAATCGTAAAATAAAGATAATTTTTCTTCTAATAATAAGATTAACATAAAATAAATTAATAATAATTATTTATTCATTTGACTTTAGGTTTTCGTTGAAAATAAGTGAAGAGAACTTTTGAAAAGAGAATCATCAGTGATTGAGGTGAGTACTCCGACTCTTAAATTATACTATCATTTTATGTCTCTTTTAAACCGGTTGTGTGAATTATTATTCATACTTAATTAATGAAATTGATTTCTTCTATTCTTAAATTTTATCGGTCATTTCGATATGAATATTTATAGTATCACATTATGAAATGTTTTATGTGTTAAAAATAATAAATATTGCGTGTTGGGTGATATGAAATTGTTAATGATATGAACTACATAGATTAATTGAATGTGTATGCTCGATTATGATGAAGACAATCTTTTATTATACTAGTAGAGGAACCAAGGTACCCATGCACATTAATGAAAAATAATATTGACGTAAAAGTATCTTAACTGATACATTTTTTGGACGATGTTCTGTGACAGCTGTACATATATTATTGATATAGTGATGTCATTGATACAATAAAACACTTTAAATATTATGAAATATTATAAGTGATGATATTCATAAGCTATAAAATGTTTTATTCTTGATTTATTAAAGGCTTAACGGACATGTATATTGTTTTTACTTTTATTGTGTTACTGTAATCTAAAAGAGAGAGTATTCACTGACTATAGTTAGCTCAATGTTATTTTAAACTAATATTTCAAATTTCATTAATTGATTTAAAAGATGAGCGATAGAAGATGAATTGTTTATAGAAGGCACGGACAATCAGTTATCTGCTAAATTTTAATGCACTGTTTTAATTTATTTTTTTAGTTGCTCTTTCATTAATTAAATATTAGTTATAAAAAATAATATATGGTAGCTCTCCTTAATTGCTAGAGCCCTTCAAAGCAGCCATAATATTCGCCGCAGCCTCTGGAATCCCTTCTACCAGAGCCGTCAGACTTTTCATGTAGCTGAAGACTTCGATTGGTGCAGACGAAGTGGAAGCTGCTAAGCCTGTGCTGTTGGATCGGTGCAGGTGAAGACAATCGAAGACAGCTTTCCAAACTTTGTGACCTCTTTCTAGTGCAAATCCCAAACGACGTTCCTGAATTTTTTTCTTTCTAGTGGAAATCCCAAGTGGGTCACGGAGAAGCCATGCACCACTCCTTACCTCAGGTCGGTTATCTCTTTCTAGTGGAAATTCTCAGCCACTGGTAGTGAAATTCTCCCGTTCTCAGGACTCACGCTGGGCAACAACAAGCTGGAGACCCTTATAGGCAGTCCTATGCAACAGTCATTAGTTGCATCCTGCACAGCCACAGGAAGCTCCTTCACAAGCAAACAGAGGGACCGCAAGAATTCTGCCGGCCTCTCAAACACTCTTCACCGTGTGAACCATTCACTGCAGCCTCATTTATCCGCTGTCCTTCCTTGCAGGCTTTCCTGCAATTTTTCCTCCAGCCGCTGGATCTGCTTCTTGCCAGAGCTGTACTTCCCTTTTTCATTCGGGCCTCCTTCCTGCCAGGCTGACTCAGGAAATCTTCTCCAGCAGCACTCTAACAGCTGTCCATTACCAGAATCCCCTCATTAGTCGTTAGCCAGCCTGCAGGCCCTCCTCGGTGCCCACTCCTGCTCCCTCTCCCTGCTGAATTTCTCCTTGCAACTACCAGCTTGCCTGTTGGCTCCCATCAAGTGTCCCCTGCAAGCTATTGTTTCTCTGCTATCTTTCATCAGAGTAGTCGTCGTCTTCCCATCTTCCTGCAGGCATTCTGCCGGTGCTTCAACCTGGCACCGCTACTACCAGAATTCTCTGTGCAGCCTCCCGTTTCCCTGCCAGTCCTCCCCCGGGTCTTCTCCCAGCAACCAACAACCTGCAGGCCCTCCGCAGCAATTTTTAGCTTTCCTGACAAACAGATGTTCCTCACCTACTCCAGCAGTAGCAAAGGTCAACTTCCTTTCTGTAACTAGTAACAACCCATATACTCATTGGGTTTGTGACCAAGTACGGAATGAAGCCATCAAAATTTACTCTGGAGATTAATTCTGAACCATTCACCAAGGAACAACTTGAAAAATTTACTCCGGAAATTAATTCTGAACCATTCACCAAGGAACAACTTGAAATACTGAAAAAAAAACCCTTAGAGATCATTCATAACGGCCTACCAACCTTGTGACATACAGCTGTGCCTCCCTTTTCTCTGCAGTATAGAAATGCAAGAGAAAAATTACCAGTTCGTGATATTTTTAACTGAACTTTCCAGACAAATCCTATCATTTTAAGTGCATAATGAATCCTTACACGGGCAATGGGAGGCTAGAATAGGGATTGTTCAATGCCAGCATGGCTTATGCTGATCAAAATGATTTAGTTAAACTAGAATGAGTAGAATTTCTACTGGGCACAGGAATGGATAGTGAAGGATTAATGAGCTGATGTCAGTTGTTGAACAAGGCATCTGCTACTTATGCTGCTGATGCGACCTATTTTCTATTAGAAATTATGCTTTCTTGTAGGTTATCTGGCCAAAATGTGCCAACTTCATCTTTAACTCAGCTTTTTTCAAATACAAAATTATATACAGAGAAAAATGAAAAAGATTTACAAGGTAATAGCTAATTACTAGCAATAAAATCATTATCCTGTCTCAGTGACCTAGGAAATTTCTCCTTGCACAAATTCTTCACGTTCATGTACATTGTTTACTTTTTACCTTTTAGTGCTTAATATATGAACTCAGGTTATGGCATATTTCTGTTCTTTTTTGATATTTTGCTATTCTTTTTCTTGTTCATGGATCTCACCTTCTTGGCTTGAGGAGAGTCTTTTTTAGGTTCCTTTTTCCTCTCTTTGAAACAGATCAAAAGCTTTCTTGTCAAGTTCATGAAATTGTTGGACGTATAAATGGACGATTTGGAACACTAACTGCCGTACCCATACACCACCTGGTTTGTATTGCTCTTTCTTTTTGTTTCTTTATTGTTTTTTTTTAAGTTGGATTTAAATTGCTTTTTAATGAACTTCTATGTAGATTGATTGTATGAAGAATAGTTTATTTCTCTTTAGATTTTTTTTTTTCAGTGACACCATAATTCAAATCAAATAATAGAATCAAGCACTATTGATCTTTACACGATTAGTCTCATTCAAGAAGCCTGGGATATTATTTGATCGGACGAGAAATTTGGGAAAGTTCTAACAAAATTATTTACAAAACAGAACAACAACAGTGACCTTCTTTCCTGAGGAATTTCAGTTGTTGATAAAGTGGTTTCTTGGAACCTTACCACTGCAATATGTCTCAGGTGTGGCCGTCAGAAGTAGCCCTGCTCGATTTTCCCTTAGTTGCTGCCTATCAATATCCCGTGCAGGCAATCCGTCACTGGTTCCAGCCTCTTGAAACTCAGACACTTCTAGCTGGCCTCTACCAGAACCTGCACGAAAAAAAAAGACTTGACAGTTCACCTTTACTTAAAAAAATTAACCAAGGTAGCTAATCAAAAAAGCAAAGAGTCATACTTATTCATTTTCTCAAGCTTGATTCTCCTCGAAGCCGGGAATACATCTGCGTCCATCCCTTGTCCTGCAGATAATGAATATCATCCCGGAGCAAGATCAGTGGCATCAACGACTCTATTTTGGACACCCAATCTGTGCTTCAAACTTTTAGGAATCATGAACAAAATTCGACAAAGTTAAAATGCTACTCTTGGTAGGAAACAAGTCATAGTATTGTTGCAATTGGGGTTTGGCCGTCTTTGGCACCTGCTGATCTTGATTTTTTCAAGTACTATCCAGGCATGGGTGGGCTTCGAGTCTCATATTCTTGACATGAGTATGGACTTGGAGACAACAATTCCGTTCAAAGTTCTTTGATTCCATCATGTAATATCATAAGCACTGCCTTTTCGCCACCGTATTTCAAATTATAGGTGTTTTTGTACCCATCTTAGATTGTGCATCAATTGTATTGCCACAATATCCTTAGGTATAAATGACAAGCATCCATCTGAATAACGACAATCCTTCATCTTAAAGTTTTTGCTAATGGTTAATTTTGCTAAATGTCATTGTGCCAATTTTATTTCATCTTTTTCCCACAGCTATGAGATGTCAACTCGACTTGGGAGCGCAGAATTTTCATTGCCGGAATGGACGTCCAAATGGTAGAGATACACAATTCTAATATATATATATATATATATGTATATATTAGAATTGTGTATCTCTACCATTCAAACACCCATTCCGGCAATGAAAATTCTGCGCTCCCAAGTCGAGTTGACATCTCATAGCTGTGGGAAAAAGATGAAATAAAATTGGAATTACTAGAGTTTTTATATATCACTCAAATACATAAGATTGTCCGGTATGTACCAATGCTAATAAAGAAAAGTAACTACATATAGAAATAATATCGTCTGATACCTATTTTCATTTGCTCTCCTTTTTTTATAAAAATTTTCTTTAATGTCTGTCATTTTAATTAAATTGAGTCTTTCTTGAAATAAATATTTAAATAGCATATTAAGTTAAACAACAATTTAGTGAATAATTACAATCCTGTAATGTACTAATTTTTTATGCATATGCTTTATCATGCATGTTAAAAATTAAAATATATTAAAATTTTATTTTATTAAAATTTTAAATATTTGAATTTCCTTTAATTAGAAGTTTTTTAACATTTTTAATTTCATTTTCTTTAAGAAGTTGTTTGAGGAGTATCGACTAAAATTTCTATACCAATAAGTTATATATTTTTCCTTTTTCATTTTCTTTTTCAAAGATTTTTCATTTCAATTTTCATGTATAGATACAATAGCATCCCCAACTAGTATCATAAGAGAGTGACTCCTTCAATTGACTTAAAAGTTATTTCACTTGATTTTTGTTAAACTTATTTTAATCATTTGAATTAAACATTAGCCTTTCAGTGCAGATGTAATATATGAAAGCTTTTAAGAACATATAGAATGATTATAAAACTTTAATACATTAAATATTAAATTACTTTTATCTATAATTATCTGGATTTGAACATTTTTAAACATGAATGTATTTGCGTTTTAAAGAACTGAAATTAGCAAAAATAGAACAGTAACTTTTGCAGTTCCTTTGATGTTTAACCTTCAACTTTCACCTTCTTCATCTACCACCTATAACAAATAAAAGTATATATATGAAATCTATTTCTAAAACAATGATTATAATAGAACTAAGTGATTCTTGTTTAATAATTCCAAATTTATTTCATACCTCCATTACTTTGCAAAATCTTTCACAAGCTTCTGTCCTTTTCCACAATTTTAAATATTTACTTTTATCAATTTCACCTAATAATGAAATTTGATATCAATTCTTGACTAGTTCTTTTTTTCAAAATTTCTCTTTAATTTAGTGCATTCATGTCTTCTTCTTTTGCACAATCAAAGATCAGTTTTAGTCTGTTCTATCTCCGATCAATTTTACCAATTCTAGTATTATTCTCCAGTCAGGATCCTGAAATAAGAATTACTCTTAAGTTTAGTTGTTTATACAGACTAGAAGAATTAGATTATTGCATGACCTGGACTAATTTCTATTAATAATTGTCATTCAGGTTAAGTTGTTTTTTTTATGCATTTGTTTTATTTCATGTATTTTTCTTTGGTTCTATATACTGTCGTGTTGGGCTGATAATTAATTGTAGTTTTAATTCTTACTCGTTCTAGTAAGAACTATTTGAGTTTGTTTTATAGATCACTCCAGGATCATCTACATGTTTTATCAATTCAACTTCCCAAGCTTGATGCTCTATCCTTGGTACCCAATGCAAACAAAATGATTGATATTTCTCAGAGTTGATCCTGACTCGGACTCCGTAAATTTGCTCATCATGTTAAATATTTTCTTGTAAACTACACGTTATATTTTGTTTTGTTTACTCTGACTTGTTTTCTCATTTATACTATTTTCCAACATTGATGGATCTTGAAACTTGTGTGCTTCCTAATTGAAACTTTTTCTTATTAGTTTTTTTCTTTTGCAGGATCGCTCCCTTGACTTTCATGCATTATGTGCTCTATATGCAGTCACTGGTAATGATATTCTTCTTGTTTACCTTTTTTTTTTTTTTTAACTGTATTCAGACCCAATTTATTGTATATCATTAAAGCAACTGTTTTTCTCATGGTTTGCAACTGTTCATTGGAACTTATACATTTCTGCATTCACCTTCTCCATGGTTATTGCGAATGAAGTGATATAAAAAGCTTTTCTTCTCTTCACCATTTTGGTGCTTGTTCTTTACAATGTGTTCTTCATCCCAATTTAATAAGTTTATTATAATTTGGGCAACTGTTATACAGCTTTTGTGTAAATAGAGCTGATTATTTAATTAGGTAGATCTTAACGGTTTCTGAGTACTATAATATCTGATATGGAAGTGATTGCATTTTCTTAATATTTTTTGTTCCTTGGGTATTAGATCATATCAGTTTCAAGGTGCCCTGCTCATAGATGCATGCTCTTCTCAGATGACTGAATTTTCTTGGCATATACAAAGAAAATTAATCTTGATAACTTTGCCTTCTGATACTTTGACTTCATGAATTTTTACGATATCAATGTTTCTATTGCCTTGTCTTAAAAAATTTCAGATGTCGCTCTTGTAACCTCACTGAGAGATGGCATGAATCTTGTAAGCTACGAGTTTGTGGCTTGCCAAGGTGCAAAAAAGGGTGTTTTGATATTAAGTGAGGTAAGCATTCATCATTAAGCGTACTTTATCTATTATAAAGTGCCAAGTTGCATTAATTCATAATAAAATAGTATTTTGCCTATTAAATGCAGTATTTTTTCTTCCTCTCAATTACAAATATCGATGTCTTTGCAACATATTATAATAAAGCTTTTATAGGTTGTGCTTTACTATTGGAAATACTGGAATGTTATCCTTATCTTTCCCGTTTATCAAACAAGGATTGTTTGTACTTCATGTTCTGCAGTCACATTTGATGAAAACATACATGTGAGTATTGCATGCAAGTGATTATAATGAGCCATATTGAGATTGAGCTAGGGTTATCAAACTGTATGGGATGATCACGAGAGAAGGTAGGTAAGTTGTGGGACAAGAAAGGAGGGTGAAAAGGTGATGGCTGAAAAATCTGGCTTCTCGGTGGATGGACAGCAATTTGGAATAAAAAAAATTGCAGGTTGCCTGCCAAACTGGTAGCGCAGGGGGGCTTTGGGCGTCCAGGAGATCATCACCTTAATTCAATCAGGCTATAAATACACCCCCTTGAGAAAAAACTAAGGATACAACCGTCGATAAGTAAAAACTAGTGAAAACAATCTGTATTACATAAATTAAAACCCAATAATATCAAAACCAGGAATTAGCAAGATATTACCATGTCTCATAGCAAAATTAACAATAATAATAATCTAAGGTAAGTAGGATACCCTGTATTACATAAATCAAAACCCAATAATATCAAAACCAGGAATTAACAAGATATTACCATGTCTCATAGCAAATTTAACAATAATAATAATCTAAGGTAAGTAGGATACCCATGGGGGGCATTCTAGCCCATGAGAGCTAGAATCGCTTGAACCGATCCCTCTTAGATTGACTCACATATCTCGGCTTCGCCTGGAAGCGGAATTGGGAGTGAGGGCTAGAGCAGGAGGGATGCATCACACTCCTAGAGTAGGAGAGAGTTCGCCTTCTTCGAGTAAGAATCATTAAAATAAACAAAAATATTGTAGTCTCCAGATAGGTCAATCTTGTATGCATTATCGTTGATCATCCTAACAATCTTGAATGGATCCAAACTATCCTGTACGAAAGTTTTTTTTTTTTAACCCTCATCCACATTGTCTTTTTTCTTGAAAATCATATCTTTTCAAGACTTGTTAGCTTGCTTCTAATACTTATTCTATTTGGCAATTTCCTTCCTCACATGCTCATGTAGGATCTGAATCTCTCTCATTCTGGACTCTGCATCAGTATTAATCTTAGTAGTTAGAAGTATCGACATTAATTCAAATGGTGCGAGGGGATTTCACCTGTATATAATAAAAAATAGACTGTGGTCTGTCGACGAACAAGCAGACTGGTTATGAGTGAACTTGACTCGAGAAAAAATCAAGTCTCACTGTCTAATGTTTTTGCTTACAAAGAATTTAAGGAGATTCACTAAACTCCAATTTATCCCATAAGGTCCTTCAAAAATGTCTAAAAAATTTCACATCTCCATCGGAAGTGATGGTCTAGGGTAAGTCGTGAAGATGGACAATCTCACTGAAATTTAAATCTATAATATGTAAAGCATCTATATCTTGTGGCAGGGTACTAAATGTGTCGTATTAGAAAGCTAATCAACAACCAATACAGTCAAATCATTACACAGTTGAATCTGTGGGAGACCCACAACCAAGTCCATGCTCGCTTCGATCGACGATGACTATGGTACAAGAAGGGGAGTGTATGAACCGGCATTTTGCCATCGTGTTTTCTTTCACTAAGGAAAAAGTCTTGTCTCTACCTCTCCACGTCTTGTATCAATCAAGGCCAATAGAAGTTTTCTTTCACCAAGGAAAGAGTTTTGTCTCCCAAAAATATATAATCAATTATGGTAGAAGAAATAGTTGTTTGAGAAGTGGAATTGCTCATACTGTCTATCTTGAAATTGAACCCAAATCTCTTGAAAATCTTCGTCAGTGGCATACCTATCTTTCAATACTTCAATGTTGATAATTTTTTACTGTATGCTGGTGATTAATAAGTGACAGCGGCTCAAGGAATCAATTGCCTTATTCTAGTTCTCTGTTTTGCTCTAGAGAACAAAATGAAAAGAGAAGAGAAACTCAAGCTTGGAGGCATGCCTACTTTTCAGTTTGCTCGGACTAATCAGAAACCTCAAGACTTGTGGTCAACATAGTGAATGAAATCACTTGCTAGCAAATTGTGATCAGTAATTTAGAGCTCTCACAATGACATTAAATTTCTTATCGTAGGTCCAGTATTTCCTCCAGAATCATTTATCTTCTCATTGAAGAAGGCAATAGGGTGTTCTCTTTGACTCGACACAACTCCAATCCCTATATTAGAGGTGTCACACTCTACTTTGAACATTTAATTAAAATCTGAAAGATTCGCGATAAAAGCCTGGGTAACCTGCTTTTCTAAAGCATAGCTAGCCCAAGCTTCATATGACCATGGTAATTTGTCTCCCTTCAAGAGCTTTATCAAAGGTGTTAC